TCATTAAACGGTTTATGGACTCAACACATCTTCAAAGGCCATTTTTTCGTTCGCTCGCAATCAAAGCGTCTCGGTATTGGCTAAGCTGCCTGGATTTCAATTTGCATGCATTCGCAAACGTGCTCGCAGAGCCCAGATAGGCCGGTATTTGCCTGCTCGATGCAAGAAGTTTGCATATCCCCGCATGCCTTGAGATGTAAGCAAGGATTTGCTTACGCAAGGGTGCCAAATTTTCACACCTTAGGTGTGCGGCATGGACTCAAATACTGTCTTCGTCCATTGCAACATCTGATTTTCAGTCTTTCCAGCTTTGGATTTCTTTGCTGGCCTGGATGCACTGCTTTTCTCCTGGTTACTCAAGAGGAGGAGCTGCTTCAATTCCTCAAAGCAATGCTGGGTCCGAGCTTCCTGATCTGCAGTGGTTTGTTTCCTTCACGAATTGTTTCAGCTCGTTTTTCACTAGGGCCATTTCTTTGGAGGTTTGATTGGCCAGGGTCTCCTGCTTCGACTCAAGGTTCTGGAGACTAAGGCGTAGGGCGCTGAGCTCCGCTTCGTGCTGTTTCAGCTGCTGTTCAATCGGTCCTTGAGTGATGGTCGGCACACGGGCACTCTGAGTCGTGCAGGTTTGGCGGGTCTTGCCCAGGGGTCATGAATCTGCAGGATGTCCTGATCCACATGTGATCTCTGGGCACGGCTGGCTGGTTGGCTACGAGCAACCACAGTTCGTGATCAATGTGGGATGCTGATTGATCGCGAGAACCCCGTCGGGTGGCTTCTCCTTAGACACCGCAATTAGTGATGCGGACGCTCCACTTGAGTTGCTCGGCCCACTGCACTAATGCATCTGCCTTTACCCCAATGGGAATTGGGGCAATGCGCCATGTGTGGTTGATTTCAAGTTCAACCGGTACTTCTTGACCCGGGTGGAGCACCTGATAGATCTTGGCAAAGTCCTCACGCTTGACTCGAACTCCCCATCCGGACTTGTTGCGGATGATGCCATGGATCGGCTGGCTTGTCACCAGCGGTACAAGTTCATGTTTCGAGTCAAGGCAATACCCATACGATGCGGAAAGCGCCTCTGGGGCGCCCATCTCCCTCCCGGGATGTCGCATACACACCTTTGATACCGGAGATTTGGAGGAGCGCCATTTCATGCTGTTGGTTGATGGTCGCTTGAAAAGCAATGGAATCAGCACTATCGGGCGTCGCCTTCTGTCCATTCTTCATAAACGAGCGTCCCCACACTTTCGTATAGGGTGCCTGGAGAGAGTTCTGCGAATCTCACGGATTGGATGGGCTTGAATCGACTTCCATTCCTCTTCCGAGAATTCATCTCGGTGGGCCTGGAAAGTGAAATGCACTTCTGTGTCGGCAGCTATGTTACCACTGCTCGCGGCTTGGAACTTAACTTCAGTGCGCCCTAGCTGGTAGATGCGTGCTGCGATTAAGATCGGCTGACTGTTGGAATCTTGAACGGGTACTGCGATGATCTTGTATTCCCTTGGCGATGAGATGGTCTCATTGACTGGGACCAGTGCCGCAAGGGGGTCTGCCGAGAGCTCATTGGTATTTTGCAGCCACGCGCTTGCTTGACTTCCATTGAGGAGCGCAATTCCGGCCATCTTAGGGGCAATCATGTGGATTGCCTGCAGGGCCTGGCCATTTTCATCAACAAAGCAACCCGGCTCCAAAATGAGCTCGGACACATCAAGAGGCGAAATCCTGGCCTGGTTGGGTCTGGGTTTAGATCTGAGGTCCTGTACCGAGGCACGTTCAGGTACGGCCAGATCCACCTTGTACAAGAGGCTGGTGAATTTCTGCAACCGGTCGGACTGATTCGTGTCTGCATTGCTACTTTATTGGACTTCGCACCGCCTCCACAGAGTGGCATTACCAAGTGGATGGTGCACTTGCAGTCTAGGGTCAGATCTGCAATGCTCACGCATGGCATGGCTTGCCGGGCAGAGGCAATGATCCTAATCGTGTGATTCCCAAGCTTCATGCACATTATCGATTAAGATACATGGCTGAAGAATGGTCACACTGGTCATTTTGGTGATGGACTTGATCTTCACTTGCACACAATGCCTTGCTCTCGCGTCACCCAAGCTTTCAAGCAATTTCAGGTTGCAGTGGAAAATCACGTCTGTCAACGTTTACAGCTCGGGCCAGGAACAATTTTGAGTTGCACACTATTGTCTCCTTGACTGCAAAGGACACACGGGCGTCGCAACCACGGGGCGGACTGATTGAGGAGCGAGGTAGCAGACTCAAGGTGCCCATCATGACGGAGCGCAGGCGGGGAGAGCGACATGGCCAGAAGGGGCGAAAGGTGCTGTAAAACAATGCCAAAACATTCCGCAGCCAGAGGAGCGTGCCACATCCATTCAATTTCAAGGTCAATGTGACGGACAGCGAGGACCCCAGCGAAGAAGCCATAGGGAAAATACTGCTAAGCCCGCAACCACAAGCGCACAGAAATGCACGGGTCCAATGGTGCCGGAGGAGGAACCATGTGTCGCTTTCTTCATCAAGAGCCCACTTGAGAACGGCCTGTCGGACACTAGGCGCAACAACTTATGGGGCAAGTCATGAAGGTAAGTGAGGAAGGAAACATCAGAGCGCGCGGCAGTGGCCATGCGCCGAGTGAGGAGGCGAACCGCAGTGGCCTCCTCCAAGGAGCTAAGATATTTGGCGAGGTGGGCTTTCATAGCAACAGCTGAGGACCCACCTGCGGGGCACGAGTTCCACATGCGCCTAAGGCCAGGAAATGTTCGCAGCACGCACCCAATTTGCTGAGTGAGAGCAGGTGGCAGACGAGCAAGGGCGGCCTCCCAAGACACATGACTCGGGGCAAGCAGACGACTAGCGAGGCCAACGGCAGCTTTGAGGGCAAGATGCTCAGGAGCTATGATGGGTGCGATACGCAAATAGCGCAGAACCTTGGGCAACGCGTGCATATCAATCCACGCTAGCCCGGTAAAGCGCACGTGCGAGCATGCGGCGGTGTCGGTTCAGAGCCTCTTTAGACGGCCAGTGCACCGACAAATTGAGGTGGCGCATAATTCGGAGCCGATCAGCACAAGTGGTCTGAGCTTCGGCGTCAATCTTGAGATCTGGCGACGCCGTTTCGAGGGCCTGTACTTGTCCGCGCAATGGAAGGCCTAACATGATAGCTCCAGGAGAGAAGGTCAGTGCAGTTAATCGATCTGTACACTCAATGGCAAAAAGATGCTGCCACAGGTCCTGCAGACGAGGGTGACCATTGCAAAAGTCAGGCACGTCGGCACGGGAGAGGCGGCCCTACGCGAGGCACAGCCAAGCACGATATCTCCACTGGCTGGAAGCGCCTCGATAGCTTGGCAGATCGACGGGCCACCAGTAGTCATAGGCGTATGATCAGGGATAGGCTGGGTGGGACCCGCACTATCCACAAACGCCCGAGGACCTGAAAGCCGGCATGGCAGGCAGAGGTGAAGGTCCGCTGGGCCTCCGCCAGCCATTGAACGCCCTTGCCGCAGGTAGCATTGTCATCCATGTACCCTTTGACACTGATGACTCTCGGTACCGCATTAAGATTGACATAAACTGGATCCATGGCGACACAAAAGAGGAGTACACTTTTCTACGCTTTTCTACTATCTGACGGGCACCCACTTGTGTGATGCCCGCCGATGAAACGGCCGGAGCCGAGGGAAACACACACCCACACACGCCCACACAAACACGCAACGCGCACACACCCCCAACACAATCCAAAAAGTCAACCGAGAGCGTCCCTCGCTCTCGCCCATTGGCGGAAACTTCGTTTCTGCACTGCACATTGATCTGGTAAATCATCATCTCGTTTTCTGAGATCAATTAAAGGCTGTACACGCGGAATGCAGGGGAGAACTCCATGAGACACACGGTGCGGTGAGTCAAACATCAGCTGAAGCATGGCCTGACACATTTCGTTTTGAGCAAGCATTTGTGGCCGAGAGTCAAGCGACACATGGACTTGGCCCGCTTGATGGTCTTAGCCAAAGTTTCCCAAGTGCTGAAGAGAGTCCTGAAAGTTATGCAACATTTTCGACACTGTCACAGTCTGAGTTGAAACACGCGGGTCAGTCTCAACCGTGACAAATCTAGACTGGTGCTTGGTTCCAAGATTAATAGGCACAGCGGCCTGTGTAGTCCAAAGGAAATTAACCAGAAGCTCATAGAATGGAGGAGTACAGATACAGCACGCCCCATGTCAACGCCCTGCCGGACGGGGAGGTGGTCTATAGAACCGCCCAACACGATGACGTACTGAGCGGCCAAACAAGACATACGTGGCGTGTTGGTGCGCCCAAGCAGCCGCCCCGAGGCGCTGTAATACATGAAGGATCCAGTGTGGATTAACCCGCTCAAAAGCCTTTGCGAGGTCAGATGAGCATGCTTTGCGAGGATGGTGTGTAGACACAGTGGGCCCGGTGGACCCAACAGTACTTAGTGGACGTAGTGGGCCGGCCTTTTGGCGCTTGCCCGGTGACAGCCTAGAGCGTGAAGTTTTGCTGACGCACAGTTGTTTTTTGCCATCACCCGCTTTCCAAGACCAGTCGCTTTCCTGCGGCAGGTGCGTGCGCAGAAGCAGATGGTTTTCACCACGCCGTTTTTGGGGAAGCTTTTCCTGTGTAACTGGGTGCAAGGAGTCAAGGCCACCCTCCACAAGCCTTAAGCATCCTATGACAAAAACGAATCCCGGAGTGTGATTCGCCCCAAAACCCCGTCGGCAGGCACGCCAACATTTTTCAATTCAGGTCTTCTAAGCACACACACACACACACACACACACACACACACACGCAGACTCTAGAGATGCAGTTTCAATGGCTTCTTCGCAGCCGAGGTCAAAATAATTTGAATGGGGATTGCAATGAGAACCGACGCAACCCTTGCAACCCCGCATTACAAGCCCCTGTTCGTTCAGGTTCATGACCCCGCCTTGCAATCCCAAGCGCTCGCGGTGTTTTGGCCGCAACATGCACCAGCGTCCCACTCACATCCACCGCTCTCTGTATGCTGGTGGGACCAAAGAGCACGACAGCACGCGCTGCAGGTGCTCCGCCCCTGCTGCGATTAGCGGTGCCTCTGCAGAATTCTTTACACGTCTTGCTTGCCCTTTGGTGATCCTGCGATTCGACACGATAAGGACCAACGTATGCCAACTTGTTGGAAGGTTCATTGCTGAGAATCCCTTCAGCTTGGGCTGAATGTCTTGCTGGAATTTCAAGTCCTTCTTCCTACCCTCCACGCTAATTTTTGCATCTAAGCAGAACATGAGCTTCTCGCCATTGTCCAGCGGGACAATGAGGAAGTGGTCGAAAATCGAATTGTGATCTGCGGCCATGCTAATGGTCAACAGGTCCTCCTCGCCAGCATCACAACTGAGCTGAGAAAAGTTCAGTTCTGCCACATCTGTGCCACCTCTGACCCAACGCACTGCGAGATCTTCCCTCACATTTTTCCTGAGCAGTTCCTGGGCCTTGGTATTGGAGGCCCCGCTTCCAAAGACATGCTGCAGAACGGTATGGCCACCAAGAATCAAGCCCGTGTTGGTTTGTGACAACGCAGCAACTCGCAAAGCTGGCGCGATGCCCGTGAGCTCCTCGAACTGCGTCCACGTAGGTGAGCAAAAATCCGTCAGTATGTAACGAACTTTCCTTTGAGTGCCCTTATCTATCTCAGTTGGAAGTTCGAACTGGCCTGCCGCAATCTGCAAGGGTGGCAGCGAAACAAGGAAATGCCGGTGTTTGGGTAAGACGAAGGCGGCACCGAGACTCAGGCTGTTCTGCATAAATGCAGTTTTCAGCATCTCAGAGCAGATGGGCACATCCGCAACGGCCGCCTGAAAGAGGTCCGCCGTCGTCCAGTAGTTGGATGCAAGATTCTTATATTGGCGAAGACAGGACTGGGTGGGGTCCTGGTTCATTCCAAGTTCCTCTTTTGCAGAGGACCAACTGGCTAGCGGCCGCACACAGCCGCCGAAGAGCCCCGGCAATGACACTCCTTCGAAATTTATCCGCGCACCTGGAATCCTGTTCTGGAAAATCTGCTCCATGTCATCCTCTGCTAATACTGGCAGCCTTATATCGCGCAGTCGATTGCCAGATGTCAAAAAGGACGGTGAAAAAGCACCAACCACAAGACTCATGCGAGTCTTTGACGGCACAATGATCATGGTAACAAGGCGTTCCAGTGCGCTGAAGCTGAACCTCTGCACCTCGTCAAGAATGACGATTAGTTTGGCATCGGTTTCTTCACGATAGTCAGGAAGCTTCCACTGAGGATTTCCCATGTAAGCTCCAACAATTGCTTGGAAGAGTTCCGAATTGCCCTGCACCTCGTTGTCAATGACCCGCGTTGCCCGTATCCCTGCCATGAGCCACAGCCCGCAGTATTTGCTGCATCGCACCTGGCTGCCCAAGCTGTCGTCCGTCAAAGCTGGGCTCGCATATCGATTGCTGAAAGAGATGTAAGCGACTCTCAAGCCGGGCTCCGCTGCGCAGGTCATCTCGGCACTCCGGATCGCAACCTCCGTCTTCCCGGTGCCAAAGGCGTTGCTAATGCCGAACGCTGTGGTCCGGCCATCATCTATCTGGGAAACGTTTGGGAACTCACCCGGGCAAGGCAAGTCTGTTCCAGGCCAAGTGAGCCTCTCGCCTCGCACATACTTCCCACAGCGTGGTGTCGGGCGTGCCCAATACTCCGCCCCCGCAAACTTCTTAACCAGCTTTTCCACATGCTCCTGCACACTGAGAACTAGAAAACGGGGGCCCAAGAGGCAACAGAGCATCTTGGAGTTGGGAAAAATGGCGCGCAAGAAAATGAAAGGAGAGACCCTGTTCTTGCAAGACCGACCAACGTCTGCAAAGCTCCTCGCAGGGTTCCCCTACCCAAAGACTCTTGAACATTGGGTAAGTATTCCATGTTGGGCACAAACCTCTAGAAGTCGAATTTCTCAGGGAGGCTTTAAACGAGGTCTTCCCTGGGCCCGATCGCCTTCACCTCCCTGACGTTCTGCATGGCCTTCCCAGGCCATGAGCATCATGAGCAGGAGGGCAAAAAATGGCGGGGAACAGAAACCGAACAAAACCAAACAATGCAGCACTGCCCATAGACGCAAAGCTGGAAAATGCAGCCAGTTTCCAAAACAAGGAAGCGCCGGGCTCTGCAAGCGCAATCTGCGGATTTCCCGCACCGAAATCAAAACCACACAACACGACCAACGGCACGTCTCAAACAATGTCAACAATGCAGCCAGCTGGAGTCTATGAAAACAGGAAGCGCTGCAATCTGCGCAAACGCAATGCGCAAACGCAACTCAGGATTTCCTGGTTCTGTGGATGGGATCAGGGCAGTCCCACAAACAACATTTTCGGGGCTGGGGAAATCGAAAACCACACACAACAAAACTGCGCGTCTTTCAAAATTGTCGACCGGCCACATCTGCCAACAATGCAGCCAGTTGAAATCTATGAAGACAGGAAGCGCTGCAATCTGCACAAGTGCAATCTTGGGACTTCCTGGTTCTGTGGATGTGATCAGGGCAGCCCCACTGAAAGCATTTGCGGGCCGCGCGGGGAATTTCAGAACCGCACGCAACGATCAGCGCAGCCGGCCGGCGGAAGCGACCGACTCCGCCCGCCTCGGACTCCCATTGCAGCTGCTGCCGCGCCAGGAGCAGGTCCTGCCCAGCAAGACTCACACGCCGAAGCAGCGCGCACAAACAGACGGCCTTCTCCAATGCCCTTTTGGCTGCTTTGGCGGAAAAAGAAAATGCCGCGAAATGTGGATCTCACTTTTAGGCAAAGGAAGCAAACAGCCCTGCCTCTTCCACGAACTCGGCCCGCATTCTCTGGTCCGCCGCCTCGAGATCGCGCCGGTCCTGACAACCAACAAGCCCAACGTTCAAGCCCGACGCACGTGTCCCCAAGGCCTGGCCACTGTTGTCCTGGCGGCAACCGGCAAAAGATGCGAACAGGCTTCGGGTCGGAGGAGTCCTCTTGCGCAGCCCCGGCGCGCCGAGCGACTCCGGCATGCAACGGGTGCCGTTTTGCCTGAAAGAGCCAAAGTGCAATCTGCTTGCGCCTGCGGGCAACTCTGAGAACTGGGCCAATACGCTGTCCTGGCACTCAGCACGAAACAAGAACATCCAAAGGAGGGACTTCATGCTCCTTCAGCCCAGTAACTCCTCGAGCAAAGTCGACAAGGGACTCCTGAAACCCGAAAACCTTCGAAAAAAATGTGTCCTAAGACCCAGGCCGTGCTCGGCTGCACGAGCAGCGCCAATGCAATCCCGAGAAGGCAGAGGCACATACCTGGCCGCTGCCTACCCCGCGGTCACGGTAGCGTCACAAGCTTGCCAGCCTCGGCTTTTGGTCCTGGTCCGCATCATCGCCATGGCTATTCGAAAAGCACTTGAGCGGCCTGCGATTCCTCAAGCACTGGCACTAGACCCATCGGGCAACCATTGCGAGCTGTTGTTGTGTCAGTGTTGATGAGTACCCTCGAGCCAAGTTTCCAGAGCAAACACAAGATTGACTGGCTTCTTTGGCAACATCAACGCACGGGTTTGGATGCTCCTCCCTTTTCACTCGCGGCCTGAAGGTCGGTCGGGCCAAGCCTTGCAAGGCTTCGCAGCGTCCATCCGTCAGACTGGCTGACTCACATCCTGCCGCTGCATCAAAGTCCAAGCGAGATACCAAACTGGCCTGCAAAACAAGCGCCGCCAGGGTGTGAGGGGCGGGGGTTTCTGGGGTCCCTGGTCCCTGGGATCACTCACACCTCTGGGGTCCCTGGGTCCCTAAGGTCCCTACATTTTTTAGGGTTTCTAAGGTTCCCAGCGTTCCAAAAACGCACGGCGGGTTCAGGGACCTTGGACCTTAGGGACCTTAGGGACCTTAGGGACCTTGACGTTAGGGACCCTAGCAACCCTGCAAACCCTACCCTAGGGACCCTAGGGACTGCGAGGACTTCAGGGACCCAGCAACCCAGGGACTTCAAGAGATCCTTGGTGGCCCCAAGGATTTTGGGGTTTGAAGGGATCTTGGCAAGAACTTCACGCCGGGTACCACTCAGCCTGGGCATTCTCCAGCATGATAGGGTCATGCAAAAACACAAAACGCCGAAGCCAAGACACACACACATTGCAAATGGGCCACAACACCACAACATCATCTCCCAACTACAAACACGGATGTAGAAAAAACCATGTAGAGACATACCAACATAAAGGCACAAAGACATAAAGATATAGAGATATAAAGAGAAAGGTATAAAAATACAAAGATATAAAGATATGAATTTGTAGAAATACAAAGATATAAATATATGAAAATTCAGAAAAAGATACAAATACGTAGAGATATGAAGATATAAATGTATGAAAATAAATAGATATGAGTACACGAAGATAAATAGATGTATGGAAAGTTGCTCGAATGGAAAAACAACAAAAGCTTTGCCCTTCCGCGCGTCTTTGTGTCCCCTTGCGTGGCAAGCGGCAACCAACCGAAGCTTGAGAGATGACTTCACACTTCACAGGATCTCTTGCCCCCAAGACCCAGGGTTGCTGGGGTCCCTAAGGCCCCTAAGGTCCCTAAGATCCCTTAGGGTCCCTAAGGTCCCTAAATTCGGTAAGGTTTCTGGGGTCCCTAAAATCCCTGAAAACGCCGTGTGTTGACAAGGATGGATGCACTTTGGCAGCGCCACCGCCGCCCAGTGCTATCGAGAGATAGCCGAGCGCACTCGGAAAGCTCCGCTGCCCGGGCACGGGAAGAATTTGCTGCGCTACAGGGGCAAGGCCTCCGCAGAGCTCGCGCCCCTGACGTGCTACGCGGACCTCAAGGTCTACAGCACGCCCGCCCCGACGGTCCACATAGCGCAGCAGCAGCCAGCGCGCCAGACCGTCGCGGCTTCTTCCTGCTACGTCGCCGTCGCTCGGGCGCTGCGGCTACGTGCCACCTGAGGAGCTGAGGCTGAGGCTCACGCACCACGAGCGGGACAGCAACAAGTTCCACGCCGTCCGAACCACTACCTCACCTGCAGGGTTGCCACTTAATGTGCCTCGTGTGTTTCGAGACCGCCGAGAAGAAGCTCCACCACTGCCACGGGGGGCGGTATCTCGGGGCGCTGCGCCACTCCTGCAACATCGCGGCCCGCCCAAGACCATCCCCGTGGTCTTTCACAACGGCGGCGGCTACGACTTCCACTTCCTGCTGCGCTACATCGCCACGATGGGCTCTCCCGTCAGCCGGGCGCCGCGCGAAGAGCTTGGCGAGGACAGCGACAACGATGCCTCCGAAAGCAAGGAAGAAGGCAGCGATGAAGAAGGAAGCGACAGCGCATCCGAGGACGTTAGGCCCATGCCCATGGTCAAGGCTGCGCCCAAGCCCAAGCCCAAGGCTGCGCCAAAGGCTGCGCCCAAGCCCCTCAGCGGCTGGTGCGCCCTGCAGCAAGGCGACGACTACAGCCTCAGCCTCAGAGTCCTCTGCAAGTTGGGCGAGAAGCGGTTGGAGATGAGCTGGGGTGCATGAACGTCTTCCCCACAAGCCTGGCCAGCACGATCGACGACCTCAGGGTTTGCACCCACAAGCGGCCCGAGCTCTTCCCGCTGATGGCCTCGCTTCACCCCGAGCTGCAGCAGCGGCGGCGGACCCACTGCTATCTCAAGCAGGCGTGGGACTGCATCCTGCGCAAGCTGCCCATGCCCTTCAACCACTTCTACGGCGCCGACGCGTGGGAAAAGCCGGCATGCTACGACAGCGTGCTGACTGCCACCTCACACCGACGTCCTGGCCCTGGTGGACGTGATGGAGAGCTACCGAATCCACTACGTTACGTAAAACTTCCATTCACCTTATCACCGACGAGCAGGCCAACAGAGACGTGCGGGCCTCCGCTGAGCTGCATCTTCCAGCCGTTCGCTTAAGCCAACAACCCGGAGCTGGGCGAAAACTACAGGGTGAAGGAACACGACAGCTGGATGGACTTTAACGCCATGCACCCAGCCCGCAATGACGCTTGATCACCCTGCCCGAACAAGGCGCCGCGAGGCTGGGGTGGCTGCACAAGACGCGCCTGTCCGGGCTGGACAGCCAAGGAAGTGAGCCATCTGTGGACTACTTTCGCCCGGAGGTGCGCGACCGGCTGCACAGAGCCTAGCACGCAGCCCTTCTGGCCGGCTTCATGGAGCTTAAGACGGCGGGGAGCGTGGTCGCCAAGAAGGTAAAGCTCACCCAGAACGCCATCTTCGGCCGCTGCGGCATGAACCCGACAAGTTCCGGAAGTTCAAGGCCAAGAGCTCCGTGACGAACTTCGTTCCAGATCAACGACTTGGAGGGGTTCCTGGCCTTTGTGGAGACGCTCAAGACGAACCGCAGCCGCGCGCAGGTCATGGTATCACAAGTCACGAGCTGCTTTGTCTTTAGAGGGGGTTTCCCAAATGGATTCTATTCTACCTGACAGGCTCCTGGCACTCGTCCGTCCAGGAAACGACCTCGTCCTGCGAAGGAGAAAACGCTGCGCACAGACAGGCGTGTGGCTGCAACATAACGACCCCTAGATATGCTTGCAAAATGCCCCGCAGCTGCGTTTCTGCAAGGCAAGCTAAAAAACAAGGAAAAAAAAAGGAAGCCAGCCAGGAGCCAGAAAGCTGGCCAGGAGCCAACCAAACCCAGCCAGGAGCCAACCAAACCCAGCCAGAAAGCCAGCCAGGAGCCAACCAAACCCAGCCAGGAGCCAACCAAACCCAGCCAGAAAGCCAGCCAGGAGCCCAAGCCCAGCCAAGAGCCAACCAAACCCAGCCAGAAAGCCAGCCAGGAACCAACCAAGCCGAGTCAGAACCCAACCAAACCCAGCCAGAAACCAGGCAGAAGCCAAAAAAGCCAGCCAGGGTTTCCTTTGAGGGGGCTCTTGCAGAAACAAAGGCAGCTGCGGGGCATTTTGCCAAACTGCATATCTGGGGGTCGTTATGTTGCAGCCACACGCCTGCACGCAGCGTTTTAGGTTTCGAATCCTTCGCAGGACAAGGTCGTTTCCTGGACGGACGAGTGCCAGGAGCCTGTCAGGTAGAATAGAATCCATTTGGGAAACCCCCTCTAAAGAGAGAGGTGCGATGTTCTATGTTCGCGCTTTCGCGCGGCGCAGTCAGCTGTCGCTGCAGTCGCTGCGCAGTTCGCGCAGTTCGCGCAGTCCGCTGCTCCGGGCTGCGCGTTATTGATCCAACGTTGCGCCATCGTTGCTCGATCCACGCCTTCGAGGCGACCCTCAAGCCATTCATGGCCTTGCCCAAGATGGCGTAGACCGGCTGATGCAGCTGGTCACTCCCGAGATGTCGGCGGGCAGCCGAATGACAGCGTGGTCCTCATCAGGCAAACCGGAATGGAGGAAAGCTGTCCAGCATCAAGAGTCATGCAAGCCATCCCTTCCCGAACTGCCTCCAGGCTAGGAGTGTTGGCTGGAAATGCCAAGCGATGCCGCGCTTGGTCCGGTCAACCAAGCGACTTCTGACGTCTGGTTTACCCTCAATCATCTTCACGTTTATCACCCAGCGAGTTCGATCGGGGATATGCTGTGTTCTTGCAATAGGCGTTGGCTTCGTCTTTACTGACGATTTTTCTCAAATTTCACAAGGTCCATGGCGGCAATCTCAACTTTTCTAGCACTGGCAGCTTTGACCGCATCCAAGGGCTCTCCATCTTCGCTGTAAGCTGATGGGCTCGTAAGTATTGCGCTCGCCGCGCGCCACCTGCCCGGCATCAAAGCCCGGCCGCGCCACCTGCCCGGCGTCGGAGCCTCCAGCCTGCCAAGCCCGCGCCACCCGAGGTCGGAATTCCGACTTCGCTCTCCCACCGAGGTCGGAATTCCGACTTCGCTATTTTGCCCGAAAAAACCAATCACCGGGCCAGCGCCGAAGGTCTGTCAGCGATGCGGTTCTCGCAGCATCGCTGCCAGAGTCGCCTTGCCGTCAATCCTGTCGCCAACGCAGGATTGCTCCACTCAATCCTGTCGCCAACGCAGGATTGCTCCACTCAATCCTGTCGTCAGCACAGGATTGCTCCACTCAATCCTGTCGTCAGCACAGGGTTTCCCAGAAAAACTGCGGTAGCGACCTGCCGAATCCCGTATCGCTCCCACACTTGCCGCCCGGCTTCCCGGCTTCAAATTTGGCAAGTAAGGCAAAGGGACGAACGGGGAAGATCAAGCTCTTTCCTGTGCCTGAATACACCAGCAAACAAGCCTCGGACCCCGTGGTGCCCCTGGTGCTAGGCACGGGCACGTTCCTCGGACCATCAAAATCAGGCAAAACCGTGGCTCTGATCAGCCTGATTCTGGAGCAGTATCGCGGCGTCCATCGGCATTGATGACGGCTGGATTCCCGTCAAGAAGTACCTGGGGGTGAACACCGAGCGGGAGCAAGCCT